TGGGGGTGGGCACCTGTAATCTCAACTACTCGGGAGGCTGAAGCAGGAGAAACACTTGAATCTGAGAGACAGAGGTTGCAGTGAGCCAAGATTGCACCACTGCACTCCAGCCTGAGCGACAGAGCGAGAAACGATGCTTGCAGAGATCCAGGAGCAATTGGAACTCAAGTATAACAGAGTTCGGATAAACTGGAGGGCAGTACTTTCTATATGACTGCAAAGATAAAAATTCTATGTGTGTGCATGTGGGAATGCATATGCACATGTACATGTACGTTGTGTTGTGTGTGTGCAGAAAGACACTTGCGGGGTTACGTCACACATTGTCCTCTGTAAATCCAGTTTCAGGACATCAAAGCCTGATTCAATGACATCTATTTGAAGAACCAAGGCACTGCAGGACACTGCTCATGGATCAGCTACTCTAGACTGAAAATGAGTGTTTTAAACGAAGACCAGAGCCCCTGTGCCCCTGCTTGTTAAAACACAGATTTCCAGGCCCATCCAACCTATGGCATCAACATCCCAGGTGACAGGAGCCTCCAGCACAAAGCCCGGAGTTTGATTATTTTTATACAATATTTTTATAATAACCCACATTCTGCTACCACCACTCCACATATTAAGTATTACTAACGATTGAATTTTTTTTAGATTTTAAAAAAAAAACAGATTTGGCAGTATTTTTTTCTTACCAACAAGGGATTTTCTTGTGGTCCTCACCTTGAGACTCCTGACCTACAGATGTCAATCATGAGCAGGTTCCCAAGGATTTCCCACTTCTCATCTCTCAAATGAGCTCTTGGATCAAGTTAACGTGAGACAGAATTGCTCGATAACCCCTAAAGAATTGCTTCACAGTTAGTATCATTGATAAAAGACATATCCAGGCATGCTCGGTGTGAGATACTGAATGTGCTTTATGCTCCCCTCTAAGCGGAGTCACCGTATCTAGCATCACATGATTATATCCCACTTTAAGTTGGGGCCTGTATGTAAAGTCGAAATCATTCGCAAAATGAAACTCTGGATCTCCCTGGGTAGCCAGAAGGGTACTCAGTTGACACTCCAGTGTTTTGCACCAGAAATACAGGTAGTTTCAGCCCCAGCAAAAAAAAAAAAAAAAACAGTTAAAAACAGGTGTTACCACTTACCTTCAAAAACACACTTGGTCTGGTCCTGAATAAAAGGCATAACATTTTCTGAGATTGTTCATTTAAATGTTAGAGATGCCTGCCAAATATCATGATTTATGTTTGCCAAAATTAAATGTCTCTATATGGGGGGTGGGAGGTAGACAAACTCAGACACAGTAAAGAAGTTTAAAGAGGTGAGTGGGCTGGGCACAGTGGCTTGTGCCTACCATCTCAGCGCTTTGGGAGACTGAGGCGGGAGGATTGCTTGGGGCCAGGAGTTTGAGACCAGCCTGGGCAACATAGTGCGACCCCGATCTCTAAAAAACAACAGCCCACCCTATGTCAGCTAAAAATTAACATTATATAAAATGTGAGCCAGCACAAAGGCTCAAGCCTGTAATCCCAGCACTTTGGGAAGCCTAGGCGGGCCGATCATCTGAGGTCAGGAGTTTGAGACCATCCTAGCCAACATGGTGAACTCCGTCTCTACCAAAACTATAAATATTAGCCAGGCATGGTGGCACACACCTGTACTCCCAGCTACTCGGGAGACTGAGGCAGGAGAATCGAGTGAGCTTGGGAGGCGGAGGTTGCTGTGAGCTGAGATCATGCCACTGTGCTCCAGCCTGGGGGACAGAGGAAGACACTATCTCGAAAATAAAATAAAATAAAATAAATCGTGTATGCCTTAAAAAAAAAAAAATCGGGGGCCAAGATGAGCAAAAGACAGGCACTAAACACTTTTTAATTTTTATTTTTCAGTGTATTGTTTGCATACAATAAAACGCACCATTGCAAGTGTACGGTTTGATGCGCTTTGGTAACTATACAGATTTGTATACCACATCCTAATCAAAATACATTTTCCTTGGCTTTTGCTCCCCTTTCCCCAGTCTGGGCTCTCATTGATCTGCTTTCTCTAATAACAGTTTTGTCTGTTCTAGAATTTCCTAAAGTGTATCAGGATTTTGTCCTTTCTATTGTCAAATGTATTATGGGCAGAGACAGGGCCTGAAAATGCATGAAACCCAGGCAGGGTGGGCTGTCCTCACCTGCAGATGGCTGCAGTCGTGCTTTGCAGATGAACTGTGGTCATTGAAAGCGACATGACATTATGGACAATGACAGTTGACCCTTGAAGGTTTTCCATGCACCTTGCACATGCAAGCTAAGGGCTTTATATAAATTTCCTTGAGTAACCATCTGAGTAGCCCTGGGAGGAATCACTTACGTTATCATCTAAATTGACTTAAAACAGGAATGTGAGACTCTAATTTGAAAACAAGAGATGGGAGCCTATTTCATGGATTTTATGCAGCCAAAGCTGGTTTTTTTCTGTTTTTAACTAATTTGCCTCCCAGGAGACAGTTGAAATGTCTAGAGACACTCTGATTATTATGCCCGGCAGGACGCCACTCGTGGCATCTAGGGGGTCAAGATTAAGGTTATCACTAAACATCCTGCCATGTGCAAGACAGCACCCCCCGCAAAGAAGCATCCAACCCCAATGTCAACAGTGTGGAGGCTGAGAAACCCCACTTTTCTCTCTAACCAAAATTAGACACAGAAAGTGGAGACTTTCTACCAGCCTGACAATATAAATGCCTTTTGACCATTAAAAAAAAAAAAACTAAGAGGAATATGTATCTGACCTAAAATAACATCTTAAGAACATTCTTCCTAATAGGCTTCTGTAAAAATAGTTCATATTTTACAACTGTCTTGCAGCGTGGTCATAAAGGAGACCCAATCATTGTAAAAATGAAAACAGTGCCTCAAGACATCTGAAGTTCTGAGCAGAAGGCAGCCTGTCTTCCATGGGCACTTCTTTATGGAGGCAGGACTGGGTTATCAGTAGGAGTGAGAACAAAGGTCAGATGAATGAGTACACAGCCCTTGTAGACTGATTAATGCGTCTTTTTTCTCCTCCTTTTGATGGAGCAAGACTGTAGCGAAGCGTGAGCGTGAGGAAGGACTTTGGAAACTATTACTGTAGACACGATACTTAACTCAGTTTCATGAACTCTTAGTCCTGGGCTGGAATTCACTCCTCTGCTGGAATTACCCAGACAGAAAGTGCTTGCAAGAAGTAAGATGGCAAAAAAAGGAAAATGCAGGCAAAAACATGCCTCATTTTGAAACTGGATCTGGGCATCCTAGAGCCAGAACCTCTCCCTGCTGACATTGCTGAGTTGAGCAGCGGGACAGACTCCATGTTGGACCCAGCCCCCCAGCTGGCCGTAAGGAGGAGCCACGAGCAGGTGCTGGGAAGACAGCCTCTTAAAGGCATGCTATGCTGATGTCTCTTTCTGTGAAGTTTTCTATATGAGTGACATGTTCTCAAAGACTGTAACACAGTAGGCCACAAGATGCCGTTTTTCCTCTGGGAACACAATGCTACTTTCATGGTTGAGTGAGTAATGGCCCCCAAAGATGTACTCCTAGTCCTAATCCCTGGATCCTAAGAACATGTTACCTTTTACGGCAAAAGAGACTTTGGGCAGGCGCCTGTAATCTCAGATACTGAGGCAGCGGAATTGCTCAAACCTGGGAGGCGGAGGTTGCAGTGAGCCAAGATCGTGCCACTGCACTCCAGCCTGAGCAACAGAGTGAGACTCTGTCTCAAAAAAAAAAAAGAGAGAGAGACTTCGCAGATGGGATTAAGTGAAGAATTTTTTGAGTTGGGGAGATTATCCTGGATTAGCCAGGTGAGCCTGACATAATCACAAAGTCCTTATAAGACAAAGGAAGAGTCAGTTAGAAGACCATGCAATGACAGAAACAAAGGGAGGCCAGAGGTGGAAAGAGAAGATGCTGCAGTGCTGCCTCTGAAGATGAAGGAAGGGACCATGAGCCAAGGGATGCAGGAAGCCCTTAGAGGCCAGGAAAGGCAAGGGAACGGATGCTTTCCTAGAGCCTCCAGAAGGAACACAGCCTGGCCAACAGTGATTTTAGCCCCATAAGACTCATCTCAGTCTTCTGACCTGTAGAACCATAAAAGAACAAGTTTGTGTTGTTTGAAGTTTATGGCCATTTGTTACAGCAGCAACAGGAAATTATTATACCATGTTTGGGCCAGGTGCAGTGGCTCCCAGGTGAGCCTGTAACCACAGCACTTTGGGAGACCAAGGTGGGATGATCATGTGAGGCCAGGAGTTCAAGACCAGGAGGGCAACATGGCAAAACCGCGTCTCTACAACAAGTGCAAAAATTAACCAGGCATGATGGTGCGTGCCTGTAGCCCCAGCTACTCTGGAGACTAAGGTGGGAGGATCGCTTGAGCCCAGGACGCAGGGGTTGCAGTGAACCAAGACTGTGCCGCTACAGCCTGGGCAATAGAGTGAAACCGTGTCTCAATAAAAGGATACCATGTTTGAAGAACCATCAATAGGTATCTTGCTTTGTAACTTGTGATCCTTAAGTCAATGTATACATTTTATATATATATAGTCATCGCATTCATATATATATATATAAATATATATAGAAGTCAATACATATATGGAATCATCACTAATCTCTAAAATACACAGACAGCTTGCTCATAAAATAGCCAAGCTCTGTGCTAAGAGACAAGAAGGACATAGTCTCAATGGTAACAGTGGTAATAGCAACCAAGCTCAGTCTGAGTGATGTTTGGCATCTAAAGTCACCATACGCATGTTCAGACAAGTCCAGCTTTTTATGATATAAGCATTCATTCTGTCTTCTAGCGTGATCCTTAAGGAAAAAAAAAACCCCAAAGTCGTGTGATGTTTAAAAATGTGTTTATTATAGCTTGCCCGTCATTTAACTGGTTTTTAGCTAAAATGTTTGAATTGAGTGGTGATATTCCCAACTTAACTCTGAACCTTCTCTGTTCAGGTCTGTGAGAACGCCTGACATCTGAAGCTTGACTTCCAAGTTTCCATAGCAACAGGAAAAAGAAAAAAAAAAATCTATCCAAATCTGAAGATTGCGGTTTACAGCTATCGAACTTCACAACTAGGCCTCAATTGTTCCAGATTTTTGTTTCTTTGCAATTTCACTTAGTCTGTACTTCATCATTTTGACAGCATCTTCCTCCCTCCTTTGATTAATGGAATTTTCTGCATTTTCCCTGAATGTTTAAAGATCGTGACATATGGCTCGATCTTCTGGGAGCAGGAAGAATGACTACTTTCTCTGGTGTGTTAACATGTCACTAGCCAGTGCTCCAGGCACCCAGCTTTGTCTGTGGGTTAGTATTGGTAAATGTATGAGTATCTGTATGTGTATATACACGGTATTTATAGAGAGAGACTATCCCGGAGAAGCCTTGTTTTGATGCTGTTCTTCCTTGCCAGGTTAAGCAAGGCAGGGTGAAAACTAAGGCAACTGAACCCTCCAGGGTCTCCCACATCAAGGTCAGCATGAGGACAAACCACAGAGCTGTCACTTTTGTTCTGAAGCTACTTCTCCATTGTCCCGTTCAGTCTGAATGATGCCACAGCCAGCCAGGCAGGTCCACAGAGAGGGAGAGCAGAGAAAGAAGTCCTTTCTCTTTATTGAGTTTGAGGACTACAACCAATTTTCACTGCCATCCGATACCATGATCCTGTGCCAAGGTGGTGAGGAGCAGAGCAGGCAATTTCACCACCAAATGCCAAGAAAAGGGCTGACATTTGCTTTCTGGGCATCCACCTGCATGTGTATGTGTCCCGAATCCACAGTCACACTGATTCTTACGGGGACACAGATCATGGTAGAGAATCTCTCCCTCCTGAGTAAAGGTACAACTGCAAATGTCATCATGGAGGTCACACATGCATACAAAGAGGTCTACAGGTCCCATCTTGTATACACATATATACCCACATGTACAGACATACATTTATGCACATTCACTCTGTTTGTTTCATATATACAGGCATAAAATAGAGTAAATACAGGTAGTTTTAAAAGTACCCTTTTGTGTGAATTGACTACCGTTGTTTGCAAACCTGAAAATAAAAGATGTTCATTATGTATGAAAAGTAACTGATTTGTATTCTGTGAGCATGTAAAAGCGGAAAGTTAGTGCTTGTTCTAAGATTACCTTCTTGTTGATAAACCGTAAATGAATCATCAAAGCTCACACCAAATTTTTCTATCAAACAAAAACTAGTGACAGCTTGTGGCTTTTTATTAGAGCTCGCCACGAACTAGGGTAAGGTAAGTGTCTTAGCATATGTTAATGCAGCTGCTTACTAAAGGTTTTAACCGCACACGCACACACACATGCTTTCTTATGCAATCTATGTTTGCACTGTGCTTTTCAGTTAGCCTTCTGTAGGAAGTAGAAGTCATATGTTGTCTTTGTTGTAGTGAAATTATACAGATAGAGTTTCCATATATTGTGTTTGTTTCAATAGTAAATCTTTTTGGAACATATAGAATGCAGAATTTTTTTTCCATTAAAATAAATGGGTGTTGGTGGTTAAAACTGCTGGACAGTAACTTTTCTCTGATTTCTATGTTGTGTCTAGTGTTGCTGATGCTGGGTCTTGTCTTAGCGCAAGTTAACATTTTTGACTGACTGTTTGGGGTCCCTCATACATCTCTAGTAGGTGAGTGAGTCTATAAAGGCAGAAGTACCAGCTCTCAGCCTGGTCAGTGGACACATCCACCTTACAATTTGAGGATGTTGCAATCAGCCATAAAGATAATTGCATACTCAAAGATGAGAGGGACCTTTCTCAGTTCAGTGACCACACTAAGCATAGTCACGGCCATCTGTCAACAGTCCCAAGACTTGGGGATTCTTCTCTGGAACAAATCCTGTTGCTGGATCAGGAAATGCCACTCCTTGAACTTGACAGGGTCATTCTCCGCAAGCACATGCCCCTGACTCAAGGACAGGAGAATCTAAGCCTGTGCATTCACACTTTACAAGATTTCTTCTACTGGCTTTATAGGGCACTATCACGTGCCTCCCTGGTGCACCTTGCTCCCTTCTTGCTGCAAGGCAGGGGGAGAATGTTCACCCTTGAACAAACCAAGAGCATCCTCAGCCAGTTAGGTGGCTGGTAGCCTGACGCATATGCTAATTGGCAATCAGGAAATCACCCTTCAATGTAAACTTCAGCCACCTACAGGGAGAAATACAGGAGCTGAGCGACCTTTCACTGAAAGAAACAAATACAAGACTTCTCCTTTTCTCTCGAGCCAGTAGGCTCTCCTGCACTTTGCAAACCAAACCAGAAGCTTACCTTTGCTGAAAATCCAGAAAAAATAGGAGTAAAGTGTATACTTCATTAATAAGTAGAATATGCCTCAACTTTCCCTTATTTAAACATATTCTCTGTCCCCAAAGTTCTAATCAAGACCAGGATATTTCTGGCATGTTGTTCTAATACTTTTCAAAAAAAAAAAAAAAAAAGAAAAAGAAACCCATTCTTATAGGCCAAAGTGGTAGCATTTCCTGAATCATAGATGTTTTGTTAAGCTGCTGGAATATATTATATTGTTTATTGAAAACCATAGTAGAATCAAAATGTTATTTCATTATTACCTATGCATTTTATCTGAGTCCAGGTTATTAAAAAATGAAGTCAAGTAAGAACTAGAAATTGCTTTTCCCAATTACAGATCTGAGGGTTTTATTCACACCTTCACTTCTTTTATTAATACTCAGCCACCTTAGTTGATTAAAAATCACATTTTCTCCTTCATTTTACGTATGATAAATTAATTATTTTGGATAATTCGTTTTAATAAGAATATGCACATATTTTCTAATTTCACCTTCAGTACTGCCAGTCTCTCCAAAAGAGCATCATTTAGGGCAGATATACCTGCTATGCCTCTTTGCTGACACCAGCAACTCTACCCATCATAATGAAATAAATCCAGCCAGATTTCATGGTAGGTAGCAAATAAGGCTTTGGCTCTTAAAGAAGATCATTAGAAATTTTGATAGCTCATCCCAGAATTCCAGAATGTCATTTTAAACAGTCTGATAAATGTAACAGCCACCTACCATCATACTCATAGAGTAGCTCAGATGGCATTTTATCCAAACTAAATACATTGGGTCTTGATCTTAAGATGTGACAACTAAAAAATTATTAACAAGTCTGTGTTTGATCCTGGGTTTGGTGCAGTTGCACAGGCACAAGCTCTCCAGATGATTCTGAGGAAAGGAGGCTACAATTTTCCTGGAGGGGTTTATGAACATGGTACCAAAAAGGTGATTAATAATTATAATAACAGTTTATATTTATTGACTGCTTATTATGTGCCCAAACTGTATAAAATCCTTATAAATAGTAACTCATTAATCCCTACAGTAGCATATGAGGCAAGAACTACTGTCTCCAATTTACAGATAAAGAAGGCTGAGGCTGGGTGTGGTGACTCATGCCTGTAATCCCAACACTTTGGGAAGCCAAGGTGGGTGAATCAGGAAGTCAAGAGATCAAGACCATCCTAGAGAACATGGCGAAACTCTGTCTCTACTAAAAATACAAAAATTAGCTGGGTGTGGTGGCATGTGCCTGTACTCCCAGCTACTCAGGAGGCTGAGGTTGCAGTGAGCCAAGATCATGCCACTGCACTCCAGCCTGGCAACAGAGCAAGACTTAGTCTCAAAAAAAAAAAAAAAAAAAAAAATAATGCTGAATGGCTTGCCCAAGGTAAGTGGCCTCCAGAGCCAAAACCCAGGCTATCTGGCTCCAGGGTTCATGTTCTTCCCATGACATCACAAAGCCACTCTCAACTCAGCAGCAAAATCAAACAAACTGCCTACTGCAGACCAGAGGACCCTACTTCAAAGCCTACATTAGCGTGATGATGCAGCTAGACCAAGTTATTGTTAAGCAACAGTACCTTTTATTATGAGGTGCCCTTAACTATTAGGTACCTCTTACCAACAGTACCTTCTGTTACCAACTTTTAAGTTCCTGCTTTATTTCTTCATTCTAAAACCTTTCTGTTAAAAAAAAAAAAAAAAAAAAAAAAACTTAACATCGTTCTAAATTAATATTGAGACCTTAGAAATTTTTCCTGTACAAGATAATATAATTATTTGTGTCTTCCCTTCCATGGCTTGTTAGCAGGTACATGAGGGGCTTCTCCTAGATTAATTTGACATCTCAATTAATCAAAAGTAGCCGGGCATGGTGGCTCATGCCTGTCATCCCAGCCTTTTCGGAGGGAGAGGCAGGTGGATCACTTGAGGTCAGGAGTTCAAAACCAGCCTGGCCAAAATGGTGAAACGCCATCTCTACTAAAAAATACAAATTAGCTGTGCGTGGTGGTGGGCAGCTGTAATCCCAGCTACTCAGGAGGCTGAGGCAGAAGAATTGCTTGAACCCAGGAGGCAGAGGTTTCAGTGAGCCATTGCACTACAGCGTGGGCAGCAGAGCGAGAGTCCATGAAAAAAAAAAAAAAAGGAAACTTATGAACTCCAGAGTACCCACTCCCTACCAAACCACCTGAGGGGAGAGAAAACGGGGAGAAGGAGAGGTGGGATCTCGAAGGGCTTGCACTGTGCTTAGTTATGAGTTATTCAAACAGGCATAAAGGCTCTCTAAGTAGCTTCTGACTTTATAAAACTAGCACATTAATCTATTTCTGTGTAGCTGCCTTAAACATAAATCAACAGGGTAGATCACACCAACAGAACCCCAAGCACTGAAAAAGCCACCTACCTTTTCCGTTTACCAAACCACTAAGATGAATAATCTAATAATCTGGTTACATCTTTCACAAAGACCCGCCTCTTCTCTCCTTAAATGACTGTTGAGATTTGATATGTTTCATAGTCATCTAATGATAAAATGTTTTCAAAATTGTTCATCTAATTCAATTAACAATTATTTTACTATACCCAGTGTGTTACCCTTACTATATTTCCTATTGCTAACAGGTTAGCCCACTACTGAAAAAATTCTGCAGTGGTGACTATGTCCATATAAAAGCATACACCAGATAGAGAGACACAGTGAAAAATGGTGGGAATGGATGTGTATATGAGGGTTTCGGATAAGAATGTCAATTATATAATTTAAGTCTATAATTTGAGCAGAAATAATTTAGATACTCAGCAAATTAAGGAAGCAGAAAAACTTCGTCTCTCTCATGCTAAGTTGCTATCATCACATCTGTCACTGGAGGATTGCTGAGCTGGATAAGCCTTCGAACCACTCTATTTGACTTTCCATGTGCCGGCTGGTCGGTAGGGAGATGGTGAAATGCTTTGGTTGGAGTAGGACTAGGGAGGTTTTCACTCTGAAGTTATGAAGAGTTGGAGAAAGAGGTTTATAGAATCACTATGAAAAGAAGTTGGAAACTATTTTCTGCTACTTTTTAAAAAGCTTTGTCTTTAGAGAGTAATAAAGACATTCTATATCTAACGTGTACGTGAATTCAGAATAGTAGAGAGTTAAAAATGAAGGCTATATAAAAAAAATCTGTGTTGTCAATGCACATGTCAACACTGTCCTGATGATGAAATTTTATCCCCCCAGATAAACATTTTAAGAAAGTGTAAATGCTTTTTGTTCATAAACACTCAGATTAAAAGTTAGTCATGTTCAGATATTCACTCTATGGCAGATGTCACTCCTTTGGGCCTCATTGCTGAATTGCTTACAGTTTCTGAGCTGTAAACTAACATTTGCTTTACTATGTAGTTGCAAAGAAATGTGTAACTTGTTTGTGAAATATTCAAATAAAGCTTATCTGGGATTTTTAACTTGTGTGTTTAGTCTTAGACCGTCTTTAGTACAGGCTAGTGTAAACATTGTGACAGAGCAAAGGGACCTTTCTTTCCAATGGTGCTGTGTCATGGGTGCAACTGGCTGGGGCCGGTGTTGTGGGTGGTAAAAGAATTTACCGGCCGGGCGCGGTGGCTCATGCCTGTAATCCCAGCACTTTGGGAGGCCAAGGTGGGCAGATCACCAGAGGTTGGGAGTTCATGACCAGCCTGGCCAACATGGTGAAAGCCTGTCTCTGCTAATAATACAAAAATTAGCTGGTCGTGGTGGCACATGCCTGTAATCCCAGCTACTCGGGAAGTTAAGGCGGGAGAATCGCTTGAACCCGAGAGGCAGAGATTGCAGTGAGCCGTGATCGCGCCACCGTACTCCAGCCTGGATGGCAGAGTGAGACTCCGTCTCAAAAAAAAAAAAGAATTTATCTATTTGCCAAGACAGTTGTAGGTAAAGAAAGGCAGATTATTCAAGACAAAGTATGTTGCTTCCTTGCAACGGGCAGCACAGCAGAGAAGGCTGTCTGGAAAGAGGCAGGGGATAGACAGAAGTTTTACAGGGTCGTGCTGGAGGACGCTACACTCGTAGAGGGGTAGCTGTGCCAGCGGCTTGTTTGTGATGAGCTGTCTCTTGGAACAGTTGTTCTCCCCTCCCTGGGCCCTCTTTCCTCATTGTTGCTTACTTATCAGGACTCCACACCAGGTTAGTCTATGATGTTTAAAAACCAAGACTA